AGAATATGAAAAAGGAAGAATATATGTCAAGCAAATGAAGAGAAACAGAAATGAAATGAAGAAGATATTTTAAATAAATTCCAAATATGTTATTTTTTAAATTACTTTTCATATAAGTTGTTTTGAGATAAATGTATAAAGTACATTAATTTGTGATACTATGTGTATACTGCTTGGAAATATTTGCAAATACTGGTGTAAGCAGTTTACGTATGATTTATTTTTTGATGTGGGGTGGTCTAGTTACTTGTAACGTATCAATTTTCGTTTAAAGAATGTTGCTAGAAAGAAAATTATTTTTCTATTTGCACACAAACTTTAACAATACTTTAAAATCAGCGATTAATTTTAGATATTTATATATTCGATTAGCAATGAAGTGAAGAGATTATCGGTTTTAATGCTCTTATCATATTTTACAGGTTTAATCAATCAGAAGTTAAGAAATGGGAAGTATCGATGTGGCAGTTGCGAGAAAGAATTCGTTTCGAAAAATGGGTTAAAATATCATCGAAGGCTTCACACTGGAGAGAAACTCTTTGCCTGTGATCACTGCCAACAACGTTTTCCACTAAAAGGAAACCTGATTCTACATCTTCGAACTCACACGGGGGAGAAACCATTCTCTTGTGACCATTGCAAACGAAGTTTTACACTAAAACATCATCTGATAGGACATCTTCGTCTTCACACCGGAGAGAAACCATTCTCGTGTAATCATTGCTTACAAAAATTTCGTGTTAAACGTTCTTTAAAGTATCATATTATTAAACATCATAATAGTAATGAATAATGACTTTTGTGGAAATGATTTTAGTACATTTCTTTGAAAAATATGTAATACTCGTATTTTAGATTTTATTGAACATGAAACAAGAAATTTCTAATGTTTGATGTTTTTAGTTTTGTAACTTTCATTTTGTGCATAAAACAATTGATTTTATGTACCGAAAATAGATAGTTTTTTAGAATAAATACAAATTTCATTGATTAGAAAATAATATGGTTATTTTTACTTGTTTACGTACGTGTCATTTATTTCGGGCGATCCCATTCATTTGTACTATTTACGTAGAATTCGTTTATTGTTAGAAGTGTATTCAGAAACATGACAAGTGGAAGATCAATTGTTGTCACTCGTTTTAGTGATTCGTATTTAGTACGAATCACTGAAAATCCGTTGTGTAGACCGTGTTTTTTTTTACACGTTCTGTGTCTCTTGTGAAATTATAAATAAAGATCGATGACAATCCGAAGCAGTCGTATACAAGAACCTTAAGCGAAAAAATCTATAATTTTCATAATTTATTTCTACGTACATAAACCAAGCAATGTTGAATGATTCAAGAGAATGTTTTTTCTATTCCTTTATATGTTTTCAATATCTAATTAAATTACTATCGGCTATGTCATAATTGAAATCGAATACAACACTATTACATCGTCACGGTTATTAAATGTCGGTCTACACGTAAAATACAATGCGTTTCATGTAGTAAACATAATTTTTTTATATTCATGAATCAACTATTAAAATGATAATCCATGTGTAGTAATTATAATTCTCTATACAACCAGGTATAGACAATTGAAAGGTAAATCGTTCTATTAATATTTATTTTATGCTGCAAATATCTAGCCGTAAAAATACAGTAAATTATGCTTAACTTGATATTAACAAGTTATTTGTTGCCATAAATCCATAATCGTAATTTACGTATACACATAAAAACGTTGTGGCAATAAATAACCTCTTGTTACTTCTGCGATTCCTACGTGTATTGACATCTTTTCACTCTTTCTTATAATAATAAATTCAACAGATACACGCAACCCTTCGCTTGCCTTTCGTTATTTCCGAACGAATGCAACCCAGAACTCACCACGAGGAGATTGCTACGTCAGAGTTCCACTGAGAGTTGGAAAGAATGTAACTGCACACGTGATTAACATCACTTGTGGAGTTTCTTTCGTCCTAACTCACATTTAAATAACATCTATTTCAATCTAATTGAATAGTTTAATTATTATTAAACTATTCAATTAGTTTGAAACAGATGTTAATTATTATTAAACTCTGTACATTTATTACACACAAACATTTGTACAATACAATAAACTTACCATATAATTTCTATATAAACTAAAGCGTGCAACATTATAACTACTGACAATAAAAGGCAGTAACGATACCTTATTATAGTAAATTATACGAACGAATATCGCATGAAATATAAAGCACTTCGAATGCTTCTCGGATCACATTCGAAATAGAAATTAGAAATAGAAAACGATAATACTGAATAATTGTAAAAATCGTTAACTCGATACAATTGCCCAAAAACTCGGAAAAGTCAGAGCAGTCTCCGGCTTTCCTCGGTGACTTCTCTCTAGAACTTATGTGAAATTTGAAGAAGGAAAAGATAAAAGACTTCCACTCCGTTTTCGACTTTTTACCTGAAGGAGGAAAAAAGCAAAGGTTTTTTCTCTCCAACAAAACTGAGCCAGCAATTGAGACATTTAACAATGCGTTCCAACAATTAGTTACTTTCGAAAAATACGTGACACGCCTTACGTCACCGCATTAATCGATTTCATTTATTTGGCTTTAAAAATTAAAATGATTCTCTTTTCTAATAAATGTAATTATTAGAATGACGTTTACAAATCTAAAGTAAATACATCGCTAGTAAAACTTTTCTCCTCAGTAAATATAACATGGCTGCAACATTGGAATCAATGTTGCAGCAATGAACCTTATAGGGTTGCAGCAACGCAAACCCTATAAGGTTCATTGAATTACTTTCGGTCAAAATCTCATCAGCGGCTTTTCTTCCGCGCAAATTCGATTCTGTTAATCTAACAAACATAAAAGTAATATAAATCTCTATAAATTATAGATTATAAGTAATACATACAGATTTATTACAATACTTAATTTTATCACTATAATTATCGTGTCGTTTCTACTTTATTCATGACCGCATGTTTAAATTTATGTAGTTATAACCCATAAAAGATAAAACAACTATAACATAACATAACCTAATTTACCAATTCTATATCGACGTGCTAATCGAAAATAATATTACAAACATTTCATTATTATTCCTTAATAAGCAGACAATTCGCATTTCTTTAGGGTCTATTCTTATATTTACAGATAAAGCGCAAAGTATTCCGTAATTATTTCTATCATCTATCAATATATCAGTTACATCAAATCTGCTTACCTTCTCCTTACTGTTTGCAGAGATGCATATAAACCGTTCTGTTGTTTGTTCTATAAGCGCAATGTAGCGTAATAACGATCACTTTGCAAATTCACTTCTTTATTTAACTTTTTGTTGATCACTTTTACACACGCGTTTCGGGCCTTATTTGACCCTTTTAAATCAACGAAGATATATAAAACCATTTTTACACAGATATACAAATCGCACATGACATTCCTTAAAAACACAAATGCCATCCTTAGGTGTATATTACCACAAGCCGGATCCATACAATATACATTGGATTACCTAGTGTTTCAATTTAAGAAAAAGATTTTTACGATAAACTTACAGCTCAAAATCAAATTGACAAATTCTACACAGGACATATCTCAAATACTAAGCCCAATGCTTAACTTTAGTTCGTATACACAAGACTTATTTATAACAGCTTTGACTTTCACTTCCAGGTTTTTCTGAATTTGAAGATCCTTCAAACACGCGCTACATTGCGCTTATAGAACAAATATAAAAAATAACACACAGTTTCAGAACATAATGTTGCTGTTGTTGTTTAAAAGCATTTGAGATTTTAAACAGATATCGTTTGCTAGCTGTTGTCAGCTGTTCATCCTCAACAAAAAAAGTAATTCGAAAACGACCTGTTTATACTCACGACGAAACAGTTTTTTTTTTTTCTGCATACTGATTACAAATCTTAAAAACTGCTGTCTCCGATACTTTAAAAATACTTGAAATAATTGAAATAAAAAAACAGTCTGATTGCAATAATTAATATTCGAACGAATTCAGTAATCGGTTGTGGCATTATAATTATGAAAAAATCGATATTGGATAATATAGAAGTAGCGATTAAAAAACTCATTATATCGGACCCCGTCCCTCACCATTCAAAATACGATTAATAACATAAAATTTCTTTTAGTGTCCGCAACGAGAAGAAAGTGAAGAAAACCTCCATCGAAATGCACCCCACCCCATAACACTAACAGCATTTTGCTGCTATCGAAAGGTAAAAATAATGAAAAGANTATATGTGAACTTCGTCAGAAAACCGTTCTCATAGTATTAAAATATAACCATATCTTGATTACGCTACATGCAGATATAGTCCATCGAAAACATGAAACTGACATAAATACGCAACTTCATTATCTACAGTTTACGACGAAATAGCAAAAACAACACCGATGATCTACGTCTTACAAGGGTACACCGAATGTCGATAATTTCAACATAAGCTACAATACATTGTTTCCACCACACGCTTCATAAAAAGAAGACAGAAGAGCATGCTGACGATATTAATTAATAACAAAAAAATACAATACTACCCTGTCGTTTTCCGCCTACGATTAAGAAGAATTCACTAAACACTTTCCTCATTGGACGAGTACGACAATGTAGTAATAAGCACGAGAAGAAATAAAAATTTTTAAGGCAGAAACAAAGGAAAAATATATAAACATTAGAGAACAAAAACGTTTTTTGTATGCATGGCAGACATTTTTATAAAGTAACAAACTAACATAATTTCATGCGAATGTTAAACATAAGTTTTTCATAACATCTTACCTTTCGATTACCACGTGCATGTCGAGGCTATAATTTGGCTATGGGAAGGCTGCGCATACATCTTAATTAATTAAAAAATCATCTCTGTTAGGTGGCGTTGATTGAAGCACGAGGTGTGCTTACCTTTAATGTAAAGTGTTAATTAAACCCTTTTAGTTAGAAATAAAGCTGTTTTGTTGTCAAAGGATTGGATTAATTGTGAATACTGATATTCTAGCATGAGAAATTAACTTAACAAAGGGAGAAAATTCCAACGTCGATGTAACCGGATTGAACGATCGACCACGGTAAGCCTAAATTTGCTATCTTAGAAACCGAACCGTTATAACGAATAGAATGGCCGAAATAGAACGACCCACCTACGGATCCCGCCGAAGAGGCGAAATGGAAAAAAAAAAAAAACGGACTCCCAGACTAGAGGCATTTTAACATGCGCGATGTTAAAATAAGCACACAAGTGGCGCTTATCTTAATCGATTTTATTATATGTAAATTTACTTAATTAGGGGGGGTTGGAAATTGCAATTAAAATCTTAATTTTTTTAAAAATATTTAAAAATATAGGCGTCGCTCATTCACCCTAGTTTAAACCCTTGTCCATACGAGACGTCTATGAGAATGCCCCGGGAAATCCGACTCCAGCTGTTCTCAAGGTCATCCAGCTGTGTCAGCAATGACTCATCGGTGTTAAATTTGGCAGAAAGGCGAGACAAAAGAACTTAAACTTGAAGCTTTTTCTTGAAAATAAACGCCATTTCTTTCTTTTTTTTTAGTTTTAAGTATTTTTAATGTATTTTTTATGCTTAATTACATCATAATTAATGACAGGTGGTCGTTAAAGGGTTAAAGTAAGTTTTATACATTTAAAGTTAATAATGTTCAATTTTATTTTTAAAAAAATGTGTAAAATATAGGGGATATCGGGGCAAGATCGGCATGTTAAGCTTTACTTAAATTTTGTGTAATAAATACTGCTGTAAACTGAAAAAAAAGCTTTGCATATTGTCTATTGGAATGTTACCTTACTATAGAACTGGTTAAAATCAGTTTGGAAATAAAAATAATTAAAATAATTACAACTTTACAAGAAGAGAGAAATTGACGAAGTTGCCCCGGGTATAGGGGCAAGATCGGCAACTTCTCTCTTTTTGTAAAGTTGTAATTATTTTAATTATTTTTATTAAAGTTGCCCCTGGTATAGGGGCAACAGTAATGGGGCAAGATAGGCACGTATATAAAATTATGTTATTAACAATGTATAAGTTGGAATTCACTATTAAAACAAAGAAATACAAATCCAACACCCATTTAATATTATTACAACGAAATGCAAGTTCAAAGACATATATACATGAATAACAAATGCAAACATGTTTTCATTTATCATCTGTTTGATTTTTATCCTTTGCTTCTAATGTGGCTTTATGTTGCCGATCTTACCCCGCTAGTCATGATTTCGAAACATTAAGTACAACCCTGAGAACAGAATGCCAAGCCACGATCTGGCCACGTGAATAAGTTGAAGTTACATCCTTCTAACAGGAAAAGTAACTTTCGTTATCATGGAATTATAACAAAACCTGCCAATTCAATATAAATGGAAAAAAAATATTATATGGAATTGAACGAAAATGAAAATTTGCTTGATAATTCAACTACGCTTGTTGGAGAACAATAAAAACACTACACTCAACAAGCCACCAATAAAACTCAACTGCCTAACCTATAACCAAAGTCTCCTTTTAATTTGTTTTTTAAAAAAAGCGCTTGACAAACTTGCACCGATCTCCCCTATTTATTTGGGCAGATATAGGAAACTGCATTTCTTTTATATAAGATTTTTATTTAATTTTAGACGAAATTATTTTATGATTTTGATAGGAAATTTATATTTTCTAAAACGAAGGAAACTGGTAAAAGTGACTTCCTTCAACAGAATTTGAACATCTTTTTTGTTTTCCCTTATCTCCTGAAAATTTCGATCACCCTGAGATTTATTATTCAGCGCCACTGTATATTACATTAAAAAATATTTCTTTATAGTAAATTTTTAATAAAATATTATTCCTGGTAAATTCTATTGAAGTAAAATATGATTGTGAAATTGTCGCTTAATTTTACGATAAAAATAACGGCAAAAATGGACGTTTCTTACATCTGGAATTAGAGACGGCGCCACCGGATTTATTCAAATTTGAAAAACGTTCCGTTACAACCCAATCGTTGAAAGAGCAACAAGAAAGAAGCTGAGATATTTTGTATTATTAATTGATTTTGGAATGGGAAATTGTTCCGAGGAAAAATGGAAGAAAAGTTCTCGGCTATTCAAATTTAAAACTTTATAATCAGTCCGTCGGGCGCTGTTTTAATTATTGATTAAAAGACAATGGAACAAGTTGGTTGTTGCAGTAGAGAATTCTTTGATACGCCTACAGAAATATTTCCAAAAATTTAGTAAAATCCATAACGGGTTTAAATGCAGAGTGTTTCCTTAACTGAATTCTTACATCTTCAGAACGAAGTTAGATGAAAGACGAGAGAAATTATGGAATCGTTAGAAGAAGCGGGATGCCCCGATTACTTGTACATGATATTCCGCTGCAAACCGGAAATCACGCTATTTAGATTCAAAAGTTTTTTCCTGAAAGCAGTTATAGATGATCGGCACGACTCTATTGTTAAAAGAAAAGAATGATGTACGGGGGCACTGCTAATTGCAGATAGAGAGCATATATTTTAAATAAAGTATATTATCAATATGGGTAAAAACTGCAGCCCGGCATTGTGACCGTGTCATAATTAATTAACCCTCATTATTAATAATTTTTTATATTCTTTAAAAGTATTCATACCTTTTCAATAATATTCGAATGAAATATTATTTTTCGAATTTCAATTTGAAACTTTCGAAAAATACAGAAATTAAAACAATTGGAATTTAAATATTAGATGGTGCCACTTATTATTTTTTTTCAGAAAATCGACAATTCATTTACAGAGAAAAAAAGCAAATGCCCATTCAGATAGAGAAGTTCTGCCGTCGTCTTCGGTTCTGTCCGAACTGAAAAGTGGAGAAGAAACGACAATAAATAGCTGAAGATTTCTCGAGCAACATTTCTAGTTATATCGAATGGCCCTAGAGTTCGGTTTGTGGAATGTGCTAACAAGTATAGAAAGTGCTTTACGTTTTTTTTTTTTTTTTGTTGAAAGATGTTTCTTGACTTATTGTAAACAAACGTAAGTACATTTTTCATTTTTTCTTAGGCATTGTTAAAGCCACGATTTTTAGGAAAAGGTTAGAAATGGTTGTTTTTAAAATTTTAAATTCTTCAATCAAAGTTGTGAAATATGAAAATAAAAGGAAAGGATCTTCGTAAAATACAATATTATATGAATTACTTGTTTTTGAACATAGCAGATAAAATTATTTTAAATATCCTATTAATAATTAATTAATGCATTTCACATGCATATGTATTCCTGTTCAAGAAAATTAACTTAAAAACGTTTTTTTTTCAGATCTTGAACCCAGCTTGAATTTTGTGGATGACGTGTTCAAGAAAGAATTTCTAAAATTATTTAATTTAAAATATATTATTTGTTTTATAAAATAATGTATAACATCATTCTCGTATCTAATTTCAAAACTTTGTTTTCAGATTCACTATTAAACAATAAAGAGAAAAGAGACAAATGAAGAATTTCAGGAAAAAGGATGAGTCGAGGAATGCGTTTAACTTCTGTTTGCAGAAGACTTAATTAAAGGCAGTGATAAGAAATTATACGAGAATATGAAAAAGGAAGAATATGTGTCAAGCAAATGAAGAGAAACAGAAATGAAATGAAGAAGATATTTTAAATAAATTCCAAATATGTTATTTTTTAAATTACTTTTCATATAAGTTGTTTTGAGATAAATGTATAAAGTACATTAATTTGTGATACTATGTGTATACTGCTTGGAAATATTTGCAAATACTGGTGTAAGCAGTTTACGTATGATTTATTTTTTGATGTGGGGTGGTCTAGTTACTTGTAACGTATCAATTTTCGTTTAAAGAATGTTGCTAGAAAGAAAATTATTTTTCTATTTGCACACAAACTTTAACAATACTTTAAAATCAGCGATTAATTTTAGATATTTATATATTCGATTAGCAATGAAGTGAAGAGATTATCGGTTTTAATGCTCTTATCATATTTTACAGGTTTAATCAATCAGAAGTTAAGAAATGGGAAGTATCGATGTGGCAGTTGCGAGAAAGAATTCGTTTCGAAAAATGGGTTAAAATATCATCGAAGGCTTCACACTGGAGAGAAACTCTTTGCCTGTGATCACTGCCAACAACGTTTTCCACTAAAAGGAAACCTGATTCTACATCTTCGAACTCACACGGGGGAGAAACCATTCTCTTGTGACCATTGCAAACGAAGTTTTACACTAAAACATCATCTGATAGGACATCTTCGTCTTCACACCGGAGAGAAACCATTCTCGTGTAATCATTGCTTACAAAAATTTCGTGTTAAACGTTCTTTAAAGTATCATATTATTAAACATCATAATAGTAATGAATAATGACTTTTGTGGAAATGATTTTAGTACATTTCTTTGAAAAATATGTAATACTCGTATTTTAGATTTTATTGAACATGAAACAAGAAATTTCTAATGTTTGATGTTTTTAGTTTTGTAACTTTCATTTTGTGCATAAAACAATTGATTTTATGTACCGAAAATAGATAGTTTTTTAGAATAAATACAAATTTCATTGATTAGAAAATAATATGGTTATTTTTACTTGTTTACGTACGTGTCATTTATTTCGGGCGATCCCATTCATTTGTACTATTTACGTAGAATTCGTTTATTGTTAGAAGTGTATTCAGAAACATGACAAGTGGAAGATCAATTGTTGTCACTCGTTTTAGTGATTCGTATTTAGTACGAATCACTGAAAATCCGTTGTGTAGACCGTGTTTTTTTTTACACGTTCTGTGTCTCTTGTGAAATTATAAATAAAGATCGATGACAATCCGAAGCAGTCGTATACAAGAACCTTAAGCGAAAAAATCTATAATTTTCATAATTTATTTCTACGTACATAAACCAAGCAATGTTGAATGATTCAAGAGAATGTTTTTTCTATTCCTTTATATGTTTTCAATATCTAATTAAATTACTATCGGCTATGTCATAATTGAAATCGAATACAACACTATTACATCGTCACGGTTATTAAATGTCGGTCTACACGTAAAATACAATGCGTTTCATGTATTAAACATAATTTTTTTATATTCATGAATCAACTATTAAAATGATAATCCATGTGTAGTAATTATAATTCTCTATACAACCAGGTATAGACAATTGAAAGGTAAATCGTTCTATTAATATTTATTTTATGCTGCAAATATCTAGCCGTAAAAATACAGTAAATTATGCTTAACTTGATATTAACAAGTTATTTGTTGCCATAAATCCATAATCGTAATTTACGTATACACATAAAAACGTTGTGGCAATAAATAACCGCTTGTTACTTCTGCGATTCCTACGTGTATTGACATCTTTTCACTCTTTCTTATAATAATAAATTCAACAGATACACGCAACCCTTCGCTTGCCTTTCGTTATTTCCGAACGAATGCAACCCAGAACTCACCACGAGGAGATTGCTACGTCAGAGTTCCACTGAGAGTTGGAAAGAATGTAACTGCACACGTGATTAACATCACTTGTGGAGTTTCTTTCGTCCTAACTCACATTTAAATAACATCTATTTCAATCTAATTGAATAGTTTAATTATTATTAAACTATTCAATTAGTTTGAAACAGATGTTAATTATTATTAAACTCTGTACATTTATTACACACAAACATTTGTACAATACAATAAACTTACCATATAATTTCTATATAAACTAAAGCGTGCAACATTATAACTACTGACAATAAAAGGCAGTAACGATACCTTATTATAGTAAATTATACGAACGAATATCGCATGAAATATAAAGCACTTCGAATGCTTCTCGGATCACATTCGAAATAGAAATTAGAAATAGAAAACGATAATACTGAATAATTGTAAAAATCGTTAACTCGATACAATTGCCCAAAAACTCGGAAAAGTCAGAGCAGTCTCCGGCTTTCCTCGGTGACTTCTCTCTAGAACTTATGTGAAATTTGAATAAGGAAAAGATAAAAGACTTCCACTCCGTTTTCGACTTTTTACCTGAAGGAGGAAAAAAGCAAAGGTTTTTTCTCTCCAACAAAACTGAGCCAGCAATTGAGACATTTAACAATGCGTTCCAACAATTAGTTACTTTCGAAAAATACGTGACACGCCTTACGTCACCGCATTAATCGATTTCATTTATTTGGCTTTAAAAATTAAAATGATTCTCTTTTCTAATAAATGTAATTATTAGAATGACGTTTACAAATCTAAAGTAAATACATCGCTAGTAAAACTTTTCTCCTCAGTAAATATAACATGGCTGCAACATTGGAATCAATGTTGCAGCAATGAACCTTATAGGGTTGCAGCAACGCAAACCCTATAAGGTTCATTGAATTACTTTCGGTCAAAATCTCATCAGCGGCTTTTCTTCCGCGCAAATTCGATTCTGTTAATCTAACAAACATAAAAGTAATATAAATCTCTATAAATTATAGATTATAAGTAATACATACAGATTTATTACAATACTTAATTTTATCACTATAATTATCGTGTCGTTTCTACTTTATTCATGACCGCATGTTTAAATTTATGTAGTTATAACCCATAAAAGATAAAACAACTATAACATAACATAACCTAATTTACCAATTCTATATCGACGTGCTAATCGAAAATAATATTACAAACATTTCATTATTATTCCTTAATAAGCAGACAATTCGCATTTCTTTAGGGTCTATTCTTATATTTACAGATAAAGCGCAAAGTATTCCGTAATTATTTCTATCATCTATCAATATATCAGTTACATCAAATCTGCTTACCTTCTCCTTACTGTTTGCAGAGATGCATATAAACCGTTCTGTTGTTTGTTCTATAAGCGCAATGTAGCGTAATAACGATCACTTTGCAAATTCACTTCTTTATTTAACTTTTTGTTGATCACTTTTACACACGCGTTTCGGGCCTTATTTGACCCTTTTAAATCAACGAAGATATATAAAACCATTTTTACACAGATATACAAATCGCACATGACATTCCTTAAAAACACAAATGCCATCCTTAGGTGTATATTACCACAAGCCGGATCCATACAATATACATTGGATTACCTAGTGTTTCAATTTAAGAAAAAGATTTTTACGATAAACTTACAGCTCAAAATCAAATTGACAAATTCTACACAGGACATATCTCAAATACTAAGCCCAATGCTTAACTTTAGTTCGTATACACAAGACTTATTTATAACAGCTTTGACTTTCACTTCCAGGTTTTTCTGAATTTGAAGATCCTTCAAACACGCGCTACATTGCGCTTATAGAACAAATATAAAAAATAACACACAGTTTCAGAACATAATGTTGCTGTTGTTGTTTAAAAGCATTTGAGATTTTAAACAGATATCGTTTGCTAGCTGTTGTCAGCTGTTCATCCTCAACAAAAAAAGTAATTCGAAAACGACCTGTTTATACTCACGACGAAACAGTTTTTTTTTTTTCTGCATACTGATTACAAATCTTAAAAACTGCTGTCTCCGATACTTTAAAAATACTTGAAATAATTGAAATAAAAAAACAGTCTGATTGCAATAATTAATATTCGAACGAATTCAGTAATCGGTTGTGGCATTATAATTATGAAAAAATCGATATTGGATAATATAGAAGTAGCGATTAAAAAACTCATTATATCGGACCCCGTCCCTCACCATTCAAAATACGATTAATAACATAAAATTTCTTTTAGTGTCCGCAACGAGAAGAAAGTGAAGAAAACCTCCATCGAAATGCACCCCACCCCATAACACTAACAGCATTTTGCTGCTATCGAAAGGTAAAAATAATGAAAAGAAATATATGATAAAAAATAAATACAAAATACAGTTTAATTAATAATGATGATAATAATAATATTAATAATAAACATTTAAAATAGATATAATGACAGCTTTTTTATAACTGATTTAAATATCAGAAAGTCCAGAAAGGAGTTGATCAACTTTCACGGCAACAACTAAAGCTCCGTGTGTGCCGCCATCTGTTATAATATTTTACTATTATTAAAAGCTTATTGTATTTTTAATTATTATAAAATGGTAAAAAAAAAAAAGTTAACTTATAAACCAGCTCCAAGTAGAATATATAAAACGGAAGAAATAAAACATTAATTAAAAAGGAAAATTTACACAAGTTTGTAATTTCGTCCGATTCATTTTCTGTATTTGAAGTAGCATACGGAAATGAGGAAAGATTTCTCCTTTTCAAAAAAGTAAAGAAAATGTAAGCTATTTTTTATAATTTAACCATGACTGCATATATTTCAAATGAATTTATTTTTTTTCTTTCGTCAGCATCCTTCGTCTATTCGAATCTGGAATTGTGCACAAAATCGATTATGCTGATAATTCTAGAACGATCTCACAGAAAATTTTTCGTTTATTAATTACACAGTAAATATGCTAGGTATGAAGTAGAAACCAAAAGTTTCCGGTTTATATCTGTTTTAGACGTTATAAGTATAAAACAGTGATGTCATTTTTCAACATAGTTTAATTTGTCGTTCTATACACTTGGAACCAACTTTGGAATTAACATTTGAACACATTTGAAAGTCAGAGATAATGTCGATTTCACTCGCTGTTATTATTTACAACTTTTTTAAAAACACATCTCTATCCTGAAAATTAAGTTTTTTGCCATTTTATAATAGTTAATTGTACAGAAAAATTTTTAATGAAATATTTATAACGAAATATAATATGGTGCTTATATACTAAAAATATGCAACGTAATTATAATTTTCGTGTTATTTCGAACTAATGTATTTCGAAAATGTCTCGTGTAATTTTGCCAAATCTCATATAATGTATTACACTAATTTTAGTTTAATATATTTATACGTTTTTCAAAAAAATAATGTAATAACTTTTGTAACGTTGTTTAGTTTCTTTTTTGAATGTGTAAATTATGTAGTACTCGAAATAAGGCTGGACTCACACTTATAGAAAAAGAACACTCAAAACATAAACTGAAAACCAAATCCAGAAAATTGTAACATCGCACACGCGTAAAATTTCTAACAAACCAACTCGAGAAATCTTTAGTGGAAAAGTTTTTTGGCCGTAAGATGTAGATGTCGACCAATTCGAACTCTAGAAGTGATGACGTGTTTACGATTTTATTGATGTCTCTGCTGTGCTAAAAACGAGAAACCGCGGGAGCTGCCAAACGTCTGTTTTGACATTTGTTAATAGTTGTGACGCTGCTTCAAAATCATGGCTGCTCTTAAAGAAAAAAAAGTGAATGGTAACATATAACTATGTTTAGCTTAAATCCGAAACGAATGTAGATTAAGCAGAAATGAATGCAGATGTAGCGC